GAGGAGAAAGAAGGAATCGGAGAAGAAAGGAGAGGAGGGGAGGGGAGAAGAGGGGAGGAGAGGAAAGGAGAAAAGAGGGATGGGAGAAGAAAGGAAAGGAGAGAGGATGAGAGGAGGGTAGGGAGGAGAAGAAATGGAAGAGGGGGGGAGAGGGAAGGAAGGGGGAAGATAAAATGGGAAGACGGATGGGAAGGAAGGGAAGAGGGCGAACGGAAGGAGAGGAGGAGGAAAAGGGGAGGAGTTTAACTAGATAATAGTGGACAATGGGAAAGATATTTTTTTTCTCCTTTCTAAGGGGAAAGGAAGAGGGGAAAGGGGAAGAGGATGAGGACGGCAGCGGTAAGACAGAGAGGGTAGGGAGTCGCACGTCGATTAACAAGAAAATGATGGTGATGGAGTTGCTAGAGTTTGAGGAAATGGGGAGGAGAGAGAGAGGAGGAGGTGGAGGTGGAGGAGGAGGAGGAGGAGGTGGAGGAGGAGGAGGAGGAGGAGGAGGAGGAGGAGGAGGAGGAGGAGGAGGAGGAGGAGGAGGAGGAGGAGGAGGAGGAGGAGGAGGAGAAGAAGAAGAAGAAGAAGAAGAAGGAGAAGGAGGAGGAGGAGAAGGAGGAGGAGAAGGAGGAGGTGGAGGTGGAGGTGGAGGTGGAGGTGGAGGTGGAGAGCGAGTTACAGAGATTGTGGAAATTTTTGTTTCTTGTTTCTTTTTCTTTCTTTCTTTCTTTTTCTGTCTATCTGCCTGCCTACCTACCAACTTTCCTATCCATTTTCTTATCTATCTATTTGTATGTTTGTGTGTATTTATTTGATTTGTTTATTTCCCCGCGTATCTCTTGTTTAAATTGATGTTCTTATTGTTTTTTTATGTATTATTTATTTGTTTATTTATTTTGGTGGGAATAGGAAATATAAAGGGAGTGATTAGAAAATAGGAAGAGAATAAGGATAAAGAAAAGGAGAAGATGAAATAAGAGAAGGGGCTTGCGGACAAGAGAGAAATGGAGGGGAATGAAAAGATGTACATGGAATAACGAAAGAAGGGAAAAGGAAAACGATGATTGGAAAAAAAGGAAGAAATGAAGGAGAGATAGGAGAAGGAGGAGGATAAGGATAGATAGAAGAGCGTAGGAAGGAACGAGGGAAAACAATCGAAGAAAAAAACGAAGGAAGGAAGGAAAGGGAGAAGGATAGATGGCAGGACACACGAAGGGAAAGGATCAAATCAAAGGAAGTACGAAAGAATTAAGAAGGGAGAGGAGAAGGATAGACGGAAGAACGAAGGAAGGAAGGGAGGAAGAACGAAGGAAGGAAGGGAGGAAGAACGAAATAATAAATGAAGGAAGAGGAGAAGGATAGACGGAAGAACGCACGAAGGAAGGAAGAGGAGAAGGATAGATGGAAGACCGCACGAAGGAAGGAAGGGTTAAAGGGTGGAAAAAAAGAGAGAGAAGGGTGAAAAAGGGAGTTCCCCCCCACCCCCCACCCGAGACCTAGCTACTAAAGGGTCATTCCAGTAGCAGTAACGTATGCGGAGCCGGCGCCATTAGGAAACCATTAAGGCGAAAGGACTTAGGGGGTGGGGGGTTAAAGGGGCGTGGGGGTAAGGTTAAAGGGGCGTGGGAGGGTTAAAGGGGCGTGGGGGGAGGGGGGAGGGGAGGGTTAAAGGGGCGTGGGGGTGGGGGTGGGAGGGTTAAAGGGGCATGGGGGAGGGGGGATTTAAAGGGGCGTGGGGGGAGGGGGGAGGGTTTTTAAACGGGCGTGGGAGGGTTAAAGGGGGGTGGGGGGGAGGGAGGGGAGGGTTAAAGGGGCGTGGGGGGAGGGGGAGGGTTAAAGGGGCGTGGGGGGGCGGGGGAGGGTTAAAGGGGCGTGGGGGGAGGGGGAAGGGTTAAAGGGGCGTGGGGGGAGGGGGAGGGTTAAAGGGGCGTGGGGGGAGGGGGAGGGATTAAGGGGTGGTAGGGATAGGGGGGGTGAGATAGGGGGAGTAAGGAGGGAGATGGAAAGGGTTAAAAAGAGGGTAAGTGGGGGTAGGGGTATGGGGTAGGGGTAGGGGGTGAAGGGATGGGGAGGTAGGGAAGTAGTCAAAAAAAAAAAAAAAGAAGAGAAAGAAGAAAGAGAGAGAAATGTTTATCAGGATAAAAGGGCAGACGAGGGAGAGGAGAAAGGGTCGAAGGAGCAAGACGAATTATCGATGGAGGAAAGTCGAGCGGGAGTTGAAGAGCGATGGTTGTTTGGGGAACGTCGAGGGGGCTTCGGAGAAAGGGAGGGAGAGAGAGGGAGAGAGAGAGGGGGGGGGGAGGGAGAGAGAGAGAGAGAGAGAGAGAGAGAGAGAGAGAGAGAGAGAGAGAGAGAGAGAGAGTGTGAGTGTGAGTGTGAGTGAGTGAGTGGGAGAGTGAGTGAGAGTGAGTGGGAGAGTGAGTGAGAGAGAGTGAGTGAGTGAGTGAGAGAGAGAGTGAAAGAGTGAGAGAGACAGAAGGAGGAGGAGGAGGAGGAGGAGGAGGAGGAGGAGGAGGAGGAGGAGGAGGAGGAGGAGGAGGAGGAGGAGGAGGGGGAGGAGGAGGGGGGGAAGGAGACGGAGAAGGAGACGGGAGGACTTTAAAGGAAGGGAAGAAGACAAAAACGAAAGAGGTAAGAGGACTGGGGAAAGGAGGACGAGGAGGAATCAAGAGTATTTCGAAGAAGGACAGGAGGGGGAGGGGCGTGAGAGTGAGAGGGAAATACGGAGGAGGAGGAGGGGGAGGAGGAGGAGAGGGAGGAGGAGGAGGGGAGTTTGAGGAAGAAAAGAAAGAGGAGGGAGAAGACAAAAAAAGGAGTGAGTCACAAGGACATCAGAGAGCGTAGGGAAGAAGAAGAAAAGGAGGTTAAAAGACAGTGAAAGGAGGCAAGCTAATCCTCCCCCCTCCCCCCCCAAAGGAAGGGATCCCGACGAAGGGCACTCAGCGGGGGCTTCGAGTGGGAGCTAATCACCTGCCATTCTGGAGCCACGCACGGACTCGCCGGATGCCCCTCCTTCGCTTAAGGCTCCTTGGCTCCTTGGCTCTCTCGCTCCTTCGTTCCTTCGTTCCTTGGCTCCTTGGCTCCTTGGCTCCTTGGCTCTCTCGCTCCTTCGTTCCGTGGTTTCTTGGCTCCTTTGCTCTCTCGCTCCTTCGTTCCGTGGTTTCTTGGCTCCTTTGCTCTCTCGCTCCTTGGTTTCTTGGCTCCTTTGCTCTCTCGCTCCTTCGTTCCTTGGCTCCTTGGCTCTCTCGCTCCTTGGTTTCTTGGCTCCTTTGCTTTCTCGTTCCTTCGTTCCTTGGCACCTTTGCTCTTCCTTCCCTGGTTCCTTGGTTCCTAGGCTCTCTTGCTCCTTCGTTCCTTGGCACCTTTGCCCCTCCTTCTCTGGTTCCTTCACCCTCTTGCTTTTCTCTTGCTTGCATCCTTGCCTCCTTCACTTCCCTCGTCCCTCGCTGCACGCCTGATAGGGAAGTGAATACGGTGAGGGAGGAAGAGAAGGAGGAGTAAAAGGGGGAAGAAGGTTAAGAGAAACCTAAACAAAAACAAAAGGGAAGGAGGCGAAAAGGGAGGAAGGAAGGACAGGACGAGGAAGAGAACGGGTTATAATGAGGAGGAACCAGGTTGAAGGGGCAAGACGATAATGAGGGACTCAGGTAGGGACCTCATGAGAAGGGGGGGGGGGAGGCGGGCGTGAGTGCAAGGGGCGACTGTAAACGCCCGCCCACGATTGCAGGCGCTCACTGTGCAGGCCGGTCTCTCCAAGAATACTCGCGCGGCGGTTGCTGGTTGCAATCGAGAGTGAGTCTCGCCTCGTGAATGCAATGGCAGCTGCGTGAGTCATTTGGGATTTGCGGATTTGCATTTTTTTTCTTTTTTTGTTTTTTCTTATTATTCTGTCTGTCTGATATTCTCTCTCTCTCTCTCTCTCTCTCTCTCTCTCTCTCTCTCTCTCTCTCTCTCTCTCTCTCTCTCTCTCTCTCTCTCTCAAAGAGAGTGAGAGGGAATAGGAGGGAGCAAGAGAGATGCATTGCGAAGGATATACGAGTAAAACGGCCGTCCACTAAAATAAACAAAAAAACAACAACAACAAAATCATTGACGTACCAAAAAAATCATTGACGTAACGCTGACTGAAAACCTTTTATTTAATATTATCATTATTTAAATTTTATTTTCTTATGGTTCATATTCGGAACTTGTTTCATTAATCAGGAATTTATGCTGAATGCCGGAGCCGGATTTTTTTTTTCTTTCTTTCTTCCTTTTTCATCAAGTCCTGAAGCGAATATTGTTGAACGGATATTTGTCGCGTGGCGCTGTCCTCTTTACTTTGAACATTTTAGCGTTAATAATGGCTCTTTCGACTTTGACCTTCAAAACGGGGGAGCTTCCTTATAGGTCATGTTCGGGTCACGCGCCGGTTGAGAGATCGGTGATGATGGTTATTATTGTTTTAACATTTATGTATTTATTTTTTCTGTTGTTGTTGATTCAGAATGTAGCAGTTGTTAGATTGGTGTCGAGGTTTTAATCCATTTTTTTTTATCTTTTTTCTTTTTCTTTTTTTTAGGTTCAGTGTTTTTGTTGAAAGTTGATTGGCTTGTATTTCTGTGCTTCGGGAGGGATGTTTGTTTGTTTGTTTGTTGAGCTATCCGTGCATCCCGCAACCTTGATTAGCCTAAACAGGCATCTCTTCTCGTATAGGCCTATATATTAATTCCCACCCGCCTCTTTCTATAAAAAAGGGGTGGGGGGGGAGGGAGCCCTAACGAAACGATAGGGATTATAACAAGATGGCGAACCCTGCCCTGTGCCCTACGCCATCCCCCCCCCCTTGCTCTACGCCCCCGCCCTTGCACCCCCCACCCCGCCCTACGCCTCTGGGTCTGGTTGGAATGCTTAGATTTTGTTGTGCATATGTTGGCGTGGAGATTGTGGGGGGGGGGGGGAGCTCCTATGCGTAGTTATTCATGAAGGCCTATGCGTCGAAGTTATTATATGAAGTGGCCTTTCAATAGGCTTAGTTTTTTATGTGGTGTGTACGCTTAGGGTTGTTGGGTGTTACTGTTGCTGTTATTGTATTGATATTGTCGATGTTTTTTGTATTTTTTTGAATGGTTTGATGATGATGTGATGGTTAGGAGTAGTGAGGGTGGTGTATTTCATTCTTACTTTTTTATTGGTTTTGTCCTTTTAATTGTTTTGTTTATTGTTATTTTGTAGTTGTCATAACCATCATTATTACTATTATTATTATTATTATTATTATTATTATTATTATTATTGTTTTTATTATTATTGTTATTATTATTAATATTATTATTATTGTTATTGTTTTGATCTTGCTGTTGTTATTATCTTTATTATTTTTTATTTTTATTTTTATTTTTATTATTATTACAATTTAATGGGCTCTTTGGCGGTGTTGTGACATATGTTTATGGACGTATTTATAAGTATAATACGTAGCGAAGGATCTTATTAGAGCCGAGATGAGTGTCATGTGCATGGGGCGTGTATCATGGCAGGTGATTATATTGCCCCAGTTTGTGTTTGGGTCTAAAAAACGGTCTCATGTTAGCCTTGGGTCTTCTTGTGTTGCATGCCAGAGGGGATAGCTTCCCTCGGGCGCGTTGGTCGCTCGGTCTTTGTGGTCTGTGCGTCCCGTTGCTTTTATGTTTGTTGTTGCTTTTTTTTGTGTGTGTTTTTTTTTGGGGGGTGGGGGTTGGGGTGGGGGGGGTTCGTTTGATGTGGTTTGGTTTTGTTGTGTTTTGTGTGGGGGGATTTTGCTTTTTTTCTCTCTCTCTTCGTCTTCGAAGATGAGGAATCCTCCCCCCCCGAGTCCCACTCACCCCCCCCCATTCCTTCGTCTTTCCCCCCTCTACTATTATCGTTTATCCTCATTCGTACGCCGTTTGTCCCTCCCCACTATCCTCCTTCCCCACCACTATCCTCCTCCTCCACCACTATCCTCCTTCCCCACCACCATCTTCCTCCCCTCGTCCCCCTCCTCCTTCCCTACCATTACCTCTACCTCTTTTTTCCCTCCACCATCCTCTTTCTCCACCACCACACTCCCCCTCCCCTATCAGTACTATAACACCACCAACACCCCATCAGGAACCCTCTCACACCCCTACCAGCTCCCCCACACCCCCACCAACACCTACACACCACCAGAAACCCCACACCCCCACCAACACCTACACACCTCCACCAGAAACCCCACACCCCCACACCTCCACCAGCAACCCCACACCCCCACATCCCCACCAACACCTCCACACCCCAACCAACACATCCACACCCCCACCAGCACCCCCACACACACCTCTCCTACCCCGCCCCCACACCAACACCCCCACACAGCATCCCCATGCCCCACACCAACACCCCCACACCCCCTCTCCTACCCCTTCCCCCCACCGCTGCCGCCACCGCCCTCTCCACCGTGGGAAGGCAGTGTGGGAGGTCGTATTGATTTACCCAAGTTGAGGGAGGAAGGCGGGGGAAATAGATTTTTTTTTCTTCTCTCTCTCTCTCTTTCTTTCTTGCCTTTTCTCTTTCCCCCTTTTTTTTTCTTTTTGTCTTCAAGATGCATGGCTTGGCTGTTGTCTGCGTCGTCACAGGTGGTTTGATTATGGAGGTTGTCGTTGTATGCAGTCGTGTATTGTTATTGTTGTTATCGTTTTCTATTATCGTTATTATTATTGTTGTTGTTGTTTTGTTGTTGTTATAATTGTTGTTTTGTTGTTGTTTTTAATGATAATGATGATAATAGTAATAATAATAATTATTATTATTGTGATAATTATCGTTATTGTTTATTATTGCTATTATTATTATTATTATTGTTGTTGTTGTTTTGTTGTTATTGTTATTGTTATTATTATTACTATTACTACTACTACTATTATTATAATTATTATTATTATTATTATTATAGATATTACTTTAAATATTATTGTTATTATATGTATGCATCATTTATATTGTTATAATCGTCGTCATCATTATTTGAAAAATGGTGTGGTTTGAGTGTTATGTTTTTCGACACGTGACCGAATTCGCTGTCACACTGATTTACGTGGAAAGAGAAGTCCAGCATAGTTTTCTGGATTTTCATTTCATTGATTTTTTTTTTTAAGGTATATTGGTCAAATGCCGCATAGAAGGGGAATGGAGCATTATCAGGCTGTGGGCTTGATTCCACGCTTCCTTCTCTATAGGTCTGTGTGACTTAATTCTATCCTCTTTATCCAGCCCTGTCATTGCCCAGACCTAAAGCCATGCCAATACCCATACCCTTACCCATACCCATACCCATACATCAAATACTTTAGCCATTATTATCCCACGCAAACATCCACATCCATACCCAAACCATACCTATACCCATACTCATACCCATACCCATACCCATACCCATACCCATATCAATACCCTCATCCATACTCATACCCATATCGATATCCTTATCCATACCATACCTATACCATACACCTTCACCTACCTTAACCATCACCAAATACGACACCCACTTAACCCACTTGTAGTCCCCCCCCCCCCCCGACCCTCCCCACTTAAACCAATCTCCCACATTCTCAGCTCCCCACTACCCACGCCCTCAGCCCCCTACCGCCCACGCCCTCAGCCCTTCACCGCCCACGCCCTCAACCCGCCCATCGCCCACCCCTCAACTCACCCACCACCCACGCCCTCAACCCGCCCACAGCCCTCAGCCCGCCCACCGCCCACGCCCTCAACCCGCCCACCGCCCACGCCCTCAACCCGCCCACCGCCCACGCCCTCAACCCGCCCATCTTCCTTTTCCGATACAAATTCCAGTCAAGGGTATTGATTGAACGGCCGTTAGTCAAGGTTCGTCGGTGCTATTACTCCTTGTTCGGTCTGGGAGGAGCGGGAGAGGAGGGGGGAGAAAACGTGAGGGGGGGGAGAGGAAGAGGGAGGAAGGGAAGGGGAGAGTGGGGGGGAGAGAAAGGCAGGGAAGGGGAGAGGGGGGGAGGGAGAGGAAGACAGGGAAGGGGACGAGGGGGAGGAGGAGAGAAAGATAGGGAAGGGGAAGAGGGGGAGGAGGAGAGAAAGACAGGGAAGGGAGAGAGAGGGACAGGGGGAGAGGGAGGAAGGAAGGGGAGAGGGGGAAGGGGAAAGAAAGACAGGGAAGGGGAGAGGGGCAGGGGGAGAGGGAGGAAGGGAAGGGGAGAGGGGGAAGGGGGAAAGAAAGATAGGGAAGGGGAGAGGAGAAGAGGGGGAGGAAGGGAGGGAGAGAGGAGGAGGGGGATAGAATGAAGGAAAGGGAAGAGGAGCAGGGGAGAGGGAGGAAGGGAAGGGGAGAGGGGAAGGGGAAAGAAAGACAGGGAGGGGGAGAGGAGCAGGGGGAGAGAAAGGACAGGGAAGGGGGAGAGGGACAGGGGGAGAGGGAGGAAGGGAAGGGGAGAGGGGGAAGGGGGAAAGAAAAGAGAGGGAAGGTGAGAGGGGCAGGGGGAGAGGACGGAGGGAAGGGGAGAGGGGGAGGGGGGGGAAAGAAAGGACGGAAGGGGGAGAGGGGCAGGGGGAGCGGAGGGAAGGAAGGGGAGAGGGGGAAGGGGAAAGGGAAAGATAGGGAAGGGGAGAGGAGAAGAGGCGGAGGAAGGGAGGGAGAGAGGAGGAGGGAGGATAGGATAGAATGAAGGAAAGGGAAGAGGGCAGGGGGGAGGAGGAATGGAAGGGGATGGGAGAGGGGGAAGGGGAAAGAAAGACAGGGAGGGGGGAGAGAGGAAGCAGGAGGGAGGAGAAAGGAAGGGAAAGGGGGATGAGAGGGGACAGGGGGGAGAGGGAGGAAGGGAAGGGGAGAGGGGGAGGGAATGGGGGAAAGAAGACTACGGGGAAGGGGAGAGGGCAGGGGAGAGGGAGGAAGGAAGGAAGGGAAGGGTGGACGAGGGGGGAAGGGGGGGGGGAAAGAAAGATAGGGAAGGGGAGGGAGAAGAGGGGAGGAAGGGAGGGAGAGAGGGAAAAAAGGACACAGAGCGGGATGATAGAAGAGGAACGGAAAGGGAAACGAAAAGAGGAAAGCCGGGGGAGAGGGAGGAAGAGGAAGCGGGAAGGGGGAGGAGAGGGGGGGAAGGGGGAAAGAAGAAAAGACAGGAAGGGGGAGAGGAGCAGGGGGAGAGAAAGACAGAGGGAAGGGGAGGGGGACAGGGGGTATGAGGGGGCAAGAGGGGAAGGGGAGAGGGGGGGGGGAAGGGGGAAAAGAAAGAACAGGGCAGGGAGTTGAGAGGGGCAGGCCCTAGGGGCGGGAGAGGGAGAGGAAGGGAAGGGGAGAGGGGGGGCAAGGGGGATACGAAAGATAAGGGAAAGGGGGAGAGGGAGAGGAAGAGGGGGAGGAGGGGAGCGGAGAGAGGAAGGAAGAGGGGGTAGAATGAAGGAAAAGGAAGGGAGGAGGGAGGAGGGTTTAGAAGAGGGGAGAGTGAGAGGGAGGGAAGGGGAGATGGAATGAAGGAGGGAGTAAGGGGGAGGAGGGACGTGGAATGAGGGGGAGGGGAGAAGAGGGGGGAGAGAGAGGGAAGAGCCTGTGAGCGAGAGAGAGAGAGAGAGGAGAGGAGAGAGAGAGAGAGAATGAGAAGAGAGAGAGAGAATTTAAGTACGAAATACAAGACCACAGAAAGGAGAAACAAACAGAGAGAGTGAGGGAGGGGGGTGGGAGGTGAAAACGTCAGAAAGAGAAGAAGAGAAATAAATAAAGGAGGGGGAAGGGTGGAAAGTGGTCGAATCGGCGGGTAAACGAGATGAAAAAGAAGAGAGAACTTTGTTAAGGGCATGGAGGCCGAGGTTTTTTTTTGGGGGGGGGAAATGAGGGAGGGAGGGTGTGAAAGGGACAAAGGGAGAGATGGAAAGAGGGAGGGTGCGATGGTTGGAGGGAAAGGGGGAGGGAAGGAGGATGAGAGGGAGAGAGAGAGAAGGAGGGAAGGGATCATGCGATGGCTGGAGGGAAAGGAGGAGGGAGGGAGGGAGGATGCGT